CCTGGGAGGATGCACAATGGGTCAATTGTGGCCTAAGTGCTGTGAAACTTAACTCGCCCTCCCTACTCTACAGATATAGATACAGAATATATTTATTTTAAGATATTCATGCGGCATTGAATTAAATGCTTTCTTCTAGGCGGTGAACGCAATAAAGAGATTCCCTTTTCTGGTATATGCTTGATTAGAAATGACAGAGTCGAACCCTTAGCGTATTCTTTCTGTTAAGGCTCTATAATATTGGTTAGAGCACAGTATTGGTAAATACGCCGGGCTACACCGGATGTGACCAATTAATACAAAGTTGGAAGATAGGCAATTTGGAGATATTTGATGTGATATTTTGATCCTTTGGTATTAAATAAGTTATTCCCTGGGTAAGGAATAATGATTTTTCATGCGAGTTAGAAATATTTTGATTAATTAATTCCGATAAGCACTCATAATTACTCTTCAACTTTTGAATCCAAAAGTTTTGAGCTCCGTCTGGTCCAGAAGATTTTTAGTTATGAAGGTCTTTGATAATATTTGAAACTTCTTCAGTAGTGAAAGGTTTGTAGGAAGTAGTAACGTAGTGTTGACATTTGTGCGTCGTATCTTCGAGTCATCCAGCATTTTTTGTTTTTGTTAAGAGCAGATGGTGTGGAAAGTTGATTTTCTCGAAACTCATAAAATTGTTTTGGCTTAGGTACAATTTATTGCACTCTCTACAGAAGAATTAAGTTTCCGGTAGAATTCCTTTTCAGTATTCTCAACAAGCGTATTATTGAATTTTCTAATCTTGCTAAATTTGCATCTCTTTAGTCGGCCTGACTAAATGGAGAGTATTTATTTTAATGTATACCGATAGTATTGCGCTGTTTTGTTGTCTGGATCATATTGTGAGTGTCTTGCGGTGGTTAGCATTTATGTTTTAGCTCTTCTGATTACTTTTTATCATGAAATGATTCAATTTTCTTCAGCAGTCGTTTTTCCCAATAGCAATTTTTGTTGCTGCACAGTAAATCATCATATACGTATATTCCAATGTATGGACTTCTACGACATAATTGGGTAAGACTTTGGTGTTCACAATTTGTAACAACGCACCTAGTATCTCAAGAATAGACAACCTCAAGAATATGCTCGTTTATTTTCAGGCAGCGACCCCAAACATTAATTACTATACTCCATTTTCATGTGTGTGCATTTTATACCTACTGACAGGTGTCAGTTTCTGTTCCACGAAAATTATCACTGCTATCCTCTGGGTAGACAGCATCCCCTATTCGCAGGGGGTCGCGCCTGATAGAAGAACTGATAAAAAACTTTCACAGGTTATTATTATTATTAATAATATTAAGAATCATTTTGGTTAAATGCTGAGGTAAATGCAATTATAGTTAAAAAAATGTATAAATTATTATCCATTAGGTATTTGTCTCATATTTCACAAATATAGAGAAAATAAAATGAGCAATTTTTAAAAAATGATAGTAATTTGAATGTTATATTGAAATAAGGTTAAGTTTAAATTAACTTCTTCTTCTTCAAGTTCCACTCCTATCGGAGATTGGAAATCATTCTGGCAATTATAATTTTATTGGTTACTCGCCTGAATAGTTCAATTGAACTGCATCCAAACCACTCACGGAGATTGCGTAGCCACGAGATTTTACGTCTTCCTACGCTTCTTCTACCTTTGATTTTACCCTGCATTATATTCCTTAGTAGTTCGTACTTTTCACCTCTCATGATGTGCCCCAAGTATTCCAATTTCCTGATCTTTATGGAATTTAAAACTTCGCATTGTTTTCCTAGTTGTTCGAGAACTTGTTCGTTTGTTTTGCGATCCATCCATGATATTTTCAAAATGCGTCGGTAACACCACATTTCGAATGCTTCTAGGTTTTTAATGTTGGATTTTTTAAGTGTCCAAGCTTCAACTCCATACAAAAGGGTAGAGAAAATATAACATCGAAGCATTCTTATCCGGAGCGATATATTGATATCGCGATTACAAAAAAGTTTTCTCATTCTATTAAAAGTTGACCGCGCAATTTCAATGCGGCATCTTATTTCTTTTGTCTGATCAGTATCTTCTGTGATCCATGCTCCAAGGTATTTGTACGAAGATATTTGTTCAATTTCTGTATTGTCTAGTACTAGCTTAACTTTGATGTTTTGTGCTTTTGTAAATACCATGAACTTTGTTTTCTTCAAATTGATTTTTAGTCCATAATCGTTGCAATATATATTTAGTTGTTCAGCAAGGTGTTGCAGTTCTTCTAGTGTTCCTGCCAAAAGGACGGTGTCGTCAGCATATCTTATGTTATTAAGTGGCTCACCGTTTATTATAAGGCCCTCACTGATCTCGGCAAGCGCTAATTCTGAGATGGCTTCACTGTATAAATTGAATAACAAGGGTGATAAAATACACCCTTGGCGGACCCCACGGCGAATCTGGATATCCTTGGTCAGTTCGTTTTCAACTTTCACTTTTGCTGTTTGATTCCAATAGAGGTTACAGATGATTCTAATGTCTCTACTGTCTATGTTTTTATTTAATAAAATTTCTTTAAGTCGATTATGTTGCACTCTGTCAAATGCCTTCTCAAAATCAATGAAACAGGCATATACTTCCTGATTAATATCTAAGCATCTCTGCGAAAGAACACTTATTGCAAACAGTGCATCTCGTGTTCCCAGTCCTTTCCTAAATCCCATTTGTGTATTACTTATGCCTTCATCTAATTTCTTATGTATTCTATTGTGAATTACTTTTAAAAACAATTTCAAGACATGACTCATTAAGGCTATGGTGCGATGTTCATTGCACTCCTTTGCATTGGCTTTTTTGGGAAGCAGTATGAATGTTGATTGGAGCCATTCTTTAGGTATTATACCTGTTCTATATATGGTATTGAATAGATCCAAAAGAAGATCAATAGATTCAGTATTCACAATTTTAAGTAATTCGATAGGAACTTCATCAGGCCCGGGAGATTTACCATCTTTAGCTTGTTTCATTGCATATTCAATTTCTTCTCGTATAATGTCAGGCCCAGTATCATCCTTAAATTCTTTTGGTGCTTCTGTTCTCTCTTTGTCTTCAAATAGTTGTGCTATATATTGTGTCCATCTCTGCATTTTTTGGTTTATATCTGTTATAAGTGCACCCCTTTCATCTCTTAGTTGCCTAGTTTGAAGTGTTTTTCTCATTCCTGTTAATTCTCTAATTCTTTTATGCATGTTAAAAAAGTCATATTTTTTCTCAATTTCTTCTAGTTCTTGGCACTGCTCATGTAACATTCTCTCCTTAGCTTCTTTTATTCTCTTTTTTATTAATCGATCAGTTTCATTATATTTAATTGGATTTTTTGTTTTGAATGATTTTCTTTCATTCATTAATAGTAGTATTTCTTCAGTCATCCAATCTTTATGTTTTCTATTCTTTGGTTTTAAGTTTTCATTTGCTGTTTTAATTATTGCTGCTTTTATATTTTCCCATTTCTGATCAATGTTATAGCTACTTTTATTCAGTTCTTGGGCATTACGTATATTTTCAGTAAGAGTTTTTACAGTTTGTTCCTTTGTTTGTGGTTCCCTTAATCTCTTAATATCAATTCTACTTTGTGTGGGTTTTTTAACCAGTTTTAATTTGGTTCGTAATGTGACTACTATGGGGTTATGGTCTGAACCGATGTCTGCTCCAGGGTAAGTTTTGGCAGACAGTATAGAATTACGAAATCTTTGTCTAATAAGGACAAAGTCAATTTGATTTCGGATTATTCTATTCGTTGTATCACCGGGAGATTTCCATGTATACAACCTTCTTTTTGGTAGCTTAAAAAGTGTATTAGCTATTACAAATTCTTCCGTCTGGCAAAATTGTATCAAACGGTCACCACGTTCATTTCTATTTCCTAGACCATATTCCCCCACATATCCATCCACTCTTCTTGGCCAACTTTGGCATTGAAGTCGCCCATTACTATTGTAGTGTGATGTTTTTTCATTGATTTTAAGACTTGTTCCAAATCATGGTAAAACAGTTCGATATCGTCGTCATCTTTATCTGCCGTAGGAGCATAAACTTAAATAAAATTTACTATACCTTTTTTAGACTGTAGTTGTATTGATAAGATCCTATCAGAATAAGGAGTAAAACTTATCACAGAGTAATTGACCTTTTTTGCAACTAAGATAGCAACACCGTAACGATGATTGACCTCGTTGTTACCTGAATAATACATGGTTCCATTATTTGTAATTTGTTTGCCTGAACCTGGCCACTGTACGTCACTTATACCTAAAACATCAATTTGGAGGTTTTCCATTTCAAGCAGTACGTTCGCTAATTTACCACTTGCATATAAACTTCTGACATTCCAGGTTGCTATTTTCAATGTCTTAAGTCCACAGGGATTTCTCTGGTTTACGACCTGGGAGGCCCTGTGATCTACAGTTATTCCTCCCCTGCCGGATCTTGGATTCCGTGCTCCATAATCAGTAAGTTTGTTTACTCTACTTGTCATTTGCCATTCATGACTTTACTAGGGGTACTCTAAGAGTCTTTAATGCAGTGGTTCCCCGTTGCCTTCTGCATCCTTACGCCGTTGACATATTTTTCGATTCATCCGCCTTTAGGACCAGTTTCCCAACCCTTGGACAAAAGAGTGCCCTTCCACTTATTAACTCATCCGCCCGCAGCCGTTGGTCATAAGTGGGGGATTGCTTATACCGGCAATCATTCGGTAAATTACCTGTTGGTCCACGGGAGGTATTTTATTTCCCTCCTATCCACCGGTAAACCGGGTCAGGCATTCCCCTATCTGCCACCTGGGGACGCGCTCTCTAGAGTTTACAGGTTCCTCCGAAAGATTAATTAAATTAACTATTACCTCACTAATGTTTGTATTTTGAGAACGGTTTCCGAAGTGGAAATTGAAACGTTAATAAACGTACTTTAACCTTTAATTATTGTGGCTCATTCCCATTTAAATAGTAATAACTATTACCTCATAAACTCAACTGTTTCAAAAGGATGTTGAATCAAATGTGTACCACATACTATAGCACCGTCAGTTTCACCTAACAGCATATCTTTGATGGCGCAGACAAACGCGTAAGAAGAACTTGAACATGCTGAATCTAACACAAAACTTGGTCCTTTAAAATCAAAACAATACGATATTCTGTTAGCAGCTATTGATAAGCTAAGACCGATGTTGGTGTAGCCACTCGTGTAGGACTGCGCGTTGAATTCTTCATATTTGCTAAAATTACTTATTCCAACATAGACTCCTATAAAAAAATAAAATTATCATTTAATATATTAAATGGAGTTAATAATATTTTTTTAAATTACAAATATGTGAATCGATTATTTAGTGTTATTAACACGGGAGGTGTTACATTATTTTTATAACAGGTTATAAATAGTTTTAACTTAAATGGATATTTTGCAATAAAATAGACAAATATGTTTTTTAAAAAGTTTAAATTATTTTAAAGATTAAAATGAATTATGGTAAGGATGTTTTTTAAGGTAATTACCAAAGTAACATTTTCTTCTGATATTTAAATAGTGTTAACAATAAAAAGTGTTTTACGGAAATGGAGGAGTTGCAATACTGGCACAAAAGTCTATTGCTGAAGTTCACTGTGTGTCAATAGGTGAAGCGTGTGTATCTTATTCTCCAACTATGTAATATATTTGTTTTATTTTAATTTGTAGAGGCCACAGAATAATAAACGATCAGAATGCCCACTCTCAGATGCCGCCTTTGAAGTTTTTCAGCACGCGCGCCATGTTTTAGAAGGAAACACATAACACAGACATATGATTTGTGAGGTTATGTAATTGTTTATATTTATGTTTAATTATATTATATTTATGTTATTATATTTAACAATGTTAATATAATTGTATAGTATGTCTAGGATTGCCGTAAGTCAATTAAACCGGGTTAATTTTTTATGCACACCACATAAACAATACTGGATCCTTCTAAAACATGGCGGAACGTCTGCGCGAATTAGATGCGCGTACTTAATTTTCCATGGAGAGTGGGCATTCTGATTGTTTATTATTCTGTGGTAGAGGCTTGTCTCAAAATGTGTTTGCTCCGATCTTCCAGTTATCAATTCTTACTGTAGCGTAGCAGTTTGATGAAAAATAATGTCTATATCACAACCCTAGTAACACACGACGTCCTATGGACGTCCAATATACGTCCAGTTTTGGTCCGGACGTCCCTGGACGTAAAATGGACGTACTATGGACGTACGAAGTGGGACGTACTTTGGGTGGACCAAATATGGACGTTCTCTGGACGTCCATACTCGGACGTTCCCTGGACGTCCATACTCGGACGTTCCCTGGACGTCCGAACTCGGACGTTTTCTGGACATCCGACATTTACCAATTATGGGATCAAATAGCAAATATTTCAATAAAATAAAAAATTATTTACGTTAATAAAATAATTAAAAGCGAAAAGGTTAAATCACAATTAATTAAAAATTGTATAGTTTAATATATCCAAAACATGTTTTTGTTTTTAGGTAAAGTGTAAAAATCTTTTATTTCTAGATAATTCGTTACAATTGTTTTATTATTCTAGTTATTAAGATAATAATATATATGTTTGCTAATTCTAATAAGTAAAAATATGATTTTTATCGACAAGATGAATCTTGATAATCTTTTCCACAGAATAATTGTCTCTTTTGTCTTTTCAAAGACAAAATAATGAAAAATAATGATGTGATATGACATGTGATGATTGATGAAATTAATTGTCAATATTGTCATTGTCATGTCATACCTATTTAATTTAAACAAATGGCACAGTTTAATCATATTATTATTATTATTATTGCTTTAATAAAAGAAATAAAATAACTCTATTTAAGCAGTGTACAGTGCATTGGTCTTTTTTAAAATAGTGCATGGTTAAAAGTTTGGTACCATTTTTGTTAGGTTATTTCCGAATTTGGTTTTTATTTTATTACAAAAAGGTAAGTAATTTTTCTTAAAATTGTTTATGTTTAAAAGTAAACGATTTGTTTCTAAGCGTCATCAACAGAGGAAGGTTACGAAAAACGTAGAGAATATTGTTGAAAATATTAATAACCCCCATATTCCGTCTTCTTCAAACCTCTTCGGAATCACTAACTGATAATTTTGACGAGAGTTTCAGTTCAAATATGTAGTTCTGGTTACAATACTTCCGATTTAAACTTTTTATTAACATGTTAAGTGCCTAAAATAATCCAAATTACCACGTGGCCGACCATTCCAATGATACTTTACAAAGCTTTTTTTTCAATGAAACTGAAGAAGAGTTTAAATATGGTTGTAACGAGAATTCTGGAGAACCTTATCGAGATGTTTTAATTTTTCTAATAATTTATTCAACTGGACTTTGTCCTTTAATACTAGGTGATTTATTAAAAAATTATAAAGAAGTTCCCGATCTTTCTCATTTAAGTTCAGATGCTAGAACCCTTCTTGCTTCACCCAGAGAACAATTACTCTGATCCATATGATTCAAATTTCAAACATATTTTTATCTTCACAATAAAACAATGTTATAGAAATGTGTGTAAATTTTTATGGAATCTCATTAAAAAAGAGTTTTAGTAGTCAGTTTTATCGTAGTTTGTATAATTTGTTGATATATCCTAAAATTGTAAATTTAATAGACATTTACCATGGTTATGAGAAACCAAAATTTGCAAATGAATGTTTGTTTGATTTTTTAACAGAGCCTGTTTTTTTTATTAGATAGTTTAAACTAAAATAATTAAGCATGGATGATCAAGTTTGTGGGGTAGTTAGATTACTGTTACATGTTGATTTATATTTTAGGATAATGAGCTTTCCAAAATTGGTGAGGAAACCATAAACGAATTTGTTAGGAGAAGCCATAAGAAGCTGGTCTGCAATAAAATTCAAGGAAAATATAGTTGGCTAGGGAAAAAGCAATATAAAACTTTTGAAGACACACATATAGCTCTGATTTTAAAAGGTTTGTAACTGTTAAACATAAATCAATCTAAGGAACATTTAAAAACTTACACTATCACTTAAGTGACCATATACAGCCGATGAAGCATATCATTAACTGTGTCTTATATGTAATTTAGATGGCAAATTTTACCATTTCACAAATGTTCAGGTCTGGCTATGAGATTGCTTTAAGAACTACACTTAGCTATATGAGATGAAGGTTTGTTGTTGGCTGTATATATTTTATTTATACACTGTTATTTTTGTTTTTTAAGTATCAAAGTGTAATTACTGCTCATTTGGTCATTAGAAATAAATACCAATGGTTTTGTTGGTATTCTTCTAGTTCAGGTGAGATCCATTAAAACTGCAGCACTTGAAATTCAGTTGTTTAATCATACGCCTTTGAATGATGATTTATTTACAATAAGCAAAGTATAATGAACTAAATCTGAAATTAATTTGTTCAATTTATTACATTACATTATAGTACATTAATTTTGTTTTCAGATGCTGCCTGAAAAAACTCCAAGACCAGTGTTGCCATGGAGAAGGAAATTGAAACTTGATAATGAAATATCTGAGATGTAAAGAGGAGGCAAATAAAATTTAATTTGCATGTTGCATTAGCAAATATGATTAATTTTGTAATGATTAAATTGTGTGGTTGGTGCACAGAAAGGAACAGTCAATTTTTGAGACTGTTTTATTTATTAAAAATAGGTACCTAAAACAGTATCTACTGCTGAAATAAAACAAAGTTCCATATTAAGTATTGATCTTTTTCATACTTATGATTTCAACTTTAAAACTCAACAATTAACTTGTCTGCTTTCAATTGCCGACCACACACTTGTAAGGTAAATCAGAATGGGAATGGATAAGGGAAGTTGAATGGTTCTGTTTTTAGTGAGCCACAGTTTCAACTATTTTGCCAATTTTTTTAGCAGTATTCACAATCCTTCTTTCTCCTGTGTAGACAAGTGTAGTCAAAGATCCCATATCAGTCACAGCCATATTTACTCTTTAACTATTAAAATTTGTGACATTCTAGCATGCTTACAGTGTCTTAATACCAATAAAGGTCTTGGTCCAGATGGAATATCGTAACTTATTTTTAAGGAATTGTGCATTCTTTTTATGTAGGCCTCTATGGCTTATTTTTTATAAATCTCTGAGGGTCACTTTTCATCACAATTTATTTATTGATTTTATCCATTGATTCAGCCATTAACTTATTGATTCCTAATTCACAAGGAATCTACGTTCCTGTAGTTGGCTGTATACCATGTATTAAAAATTTAATTAAAAATCCTTTGTAATAGGTATATATTTAAGGCCCAAACGGGCTAAGTTAAAAAGACAAAACGTTTTCGGAAACCATGTTCCATCATCAGTGTCTAGTCTGTCTGTGATGATGTCTGTCATCAGTAGACACTGATGATGGAACATGGTTTCCGAAAACGTTTTGTCTTTTTAACTTAGCCCGTTTGGGCCTTAAATGTATACCTATTACAAAGGATTTTTAATTAGATTCCTAATTATCGTTCCATTATAATTCTTTCTACTATTCCTAAAATTTTCGAGGCTTTACTGACTGATTTTTTGACAATAAATCTGAAGAATCAGCTTCATATTGGTCAGCATGGTTTACTTACTGTCTAGTTGTTCAACTTCTACTAATTTACACTTATTATGTTATAATTGCATTAAAAAACATTTTTTATGTCGATTAGATTTATACTGACTTGTCGCATCTACTGTTCTTGCAAATTGTGTAGACCATATTCTTATTCGGGTATGATCAATTTCTTGAATCTGGATTCTCTTATCAAAAGTGTTACCTTTTAATCTTTATTTTTAAACTTGTTCATAAAATAACCAATCTCCTGAATTGCTTCAGCTAGTTTGTTTTAATATTCCTCCCATTCACTGTGTCAGTATTTATATTTCCATGTTCCTTACTGCAGAACTAATTATGATTCACACATAGATATGGTCTGAAACTTTTGTATCAATAGGTTTAGGTACTATTTGAAGCACTAAAATGCTAAATGAAACTTTTTATAAATGTGTACCTATTTATTCATGTATGTTTTATTTTTATCTGTAATTTTGTGTATATTTCTATAATGTTCCATTTTTGTATAATTTTGACAGTGAATTTGTTCCATTTGTTATGAATAAATAAATATATGTAATAATAAATGTTAGTTCCTTTAAACATTTATGTTTTATTACTAAAAATTATTTTATATTTCTATAATGTTGCATTTTTGTATAATTTGGACAGGGGATTTGTCCCATTTGTTAATAATAAATAAATGTAACAATAAATGTAAGTTCCTTTAAACATTTACGTTTTATTTCCCAAAATACATTCTTAATATGCACAGGATGACACCACTTTTAGTATTTTATACAATGGCGTTGACGTCTAATTTATATCCTCAGCACTAAAATAGACGTCCGAGAACATCACAAAAGTCCGTCAAGTAAGTCCTCCGGACGTATTATAGACGTCCGATTAAGGTCCAATTAACGTCCCGGTACGTCCAACTAACGTCCGCTCGGGACGTAAAATGGACGTCCATAGGACGTTCGGCGCAGCGACATTCGAACCAATATAGGACGTTAAACGGACGTAAATAGGACCAAAGCGGACGTCCGAGGGACGTCCTTGAAGTCCGTGAGGGACGTACTATGGACGTCCATTGGACGTACGTGTGCTATTAGGGAAGGAGCTCTAAAATATTTAACAATATTTGGTGCCCATTCAAACATACTTACCTACTCTAAATAGCATAATAAAACTCCTTTCTCAAATAAAACTTAAATATTAGACACAGGATTGTTATTATTTTCAATTAATAAGTTTTTACCTATTCTAATATTACGATTATTGATGGATTCGACCGTTACTTGATGGAAATTCATTTTATGTAACAATAAAACACTGAAAACTCTGTTTTCACACTTCCACAAAATTTATTTTAAACTATTATCACTACAGTATTTCGGCTGATTGCCTTTCTTAAGTGATCTATTTTTGACATGTGTTTACACTTTTATAGACTCTAACGAAGTAGGTTGAGGAGGGGAGAACTGTTTGTCTCAAGTTGGTCATTCAGATTTATATCTGTGTTTTTTAATTTGTTAATATTCATAGATTCTAACAAAGAAAGCTTTTATTTATATAAATAAAGGCAAGACCTTTATTTTGAATGTGAAGAATTTTAAATTCGTCATTAAGAGAATGATCCTTTTATGTTCTACTATTCGTTTATTAAAGGTTCTACCAGTTTAACCGATGTAAGTTTTTGGGCAGTCGCTACATGGTTGTTATTTGTTCGGAAAGCTGGTGTTATTTCTTACTTTTTTATGTGTTTGGCTATTTTTGTTGAAATTTTGCCTGTACATGTAATCGAGCAGAAGGTACTGGGTTTTTTCTCTGGTGGTGGAAATCCTAATTTCAGGGCTTTCTTGTGAAGTTTTTAATTTAACAGTTTAATAATTGTTTGTTCGTTGTATCCGTTGTTTACTGCTATTTGCTTAATAATATTTAATTCAGTCTCCAAGTTGCATTTTGACATCGGAATTTCTGTTAATCTATGTAACATACTATGATAGGCTGCCAGTTTATATTGTGTTGGATGGGATGATGAATTGTATATAGTCGTGTCAGTATGGATAGGTTTATGAAATATGGAGAAATCATGTTTGTTTTTAAGTCTGATAATTTTTAAATCTAAAAAATTTATGGATTGATTTTGTTCTGTTTCTATTGTAAATTCAATATGACTATGAAGTAAATTAATATACGATAAAAATTACAATACAATAGAACTAGTTAATAAAATACAACATTTTCAATTACCTAACAACTTCAGATTAATTTCATTTGACTTAAAAAATATTTTTCCTAGTATCCCTCCTACAGAAACTTTCTATCAATCCTCTAAGCCCATTGCTATCAGATACTTTTATGGATCATCTAGAGACAAAGATTTTAAAACATCACGTATTTAAACAGTTTTTATATTGGTAGAGATACGTAGACGACGTACTAGTATGTTTCACAAGAACTAACAGGCAACTCGACCAATTTTTATCGTATATTAATTCACTTCATAGTCATATTGAATTTACAATAGAAACAGAACAAAATCAATCCATAAATTTTTTAGATTTAAAAATTATCAGACTTAAAAACAAACATGACTTCTCCATATTTCATAAACCTACTCATACTGACACGACTATACACAATTGATCATCATATTCAACACAACATAATCTGGCGGCCTATCATAGTATGTTACATGGATTAACAGAAATTCCGATGTCAAAATGCACTTTTGAGACTGAATTAAATATCATTAAGCAAATAGCAGTAAACAATGGATACAACAAACAAACAGTTAATAAAATCTTACATCAAAATCTACACAAGTAAGCCCTGAAATTAGTATTTCCACCACCAGAGAAAAAACCCAGTACCTTTTGCTCGATTACATAATACAGGCAAAATTTCAACAAAAATAGCCAAACACATAAAAAGAAAGGAATAACACCAGCTTTCCGAACAAATAACAACCTAGGCAAATATATTAAAAACAACAACAACCAAAATAAAAAACACTTACACAGTGGTGTGTACAAACTTAAATGTGGCGACTGCCCAAAAACTTACATCGGTCAAACTGGTAGAAATTTTAATAAACGAATAGCAGAACATAAAAGAGCTTTCAATAATAGAAAAACAGATTCTACATACGCACTTCACCTTCTAGGTCATAATCATTCTTTTAATGATGAATTTAAAATTCTTCAAATTCAAAATAAAGGTCTTAAGCTATCTTTATTAGAATCTATGGAAATCAACAAATTAAAAAACACAGATATAATTCTGAATGACCAACTTGAGACAAACAGTTCTCCCCTCCTCAACCTATTTCGTTAATGACTATAAAGTGTAAACGCATGCCAAAAATAGATTACTCTAGAAAGGCAATCAGCCGAAATAGCTGTAGTGATAATAGTTTAAAATAAATTTTGTGGAAGTTTGAAAATGAAGTTTTCAGTGTTTTATTGTTACATATTACGATTATGTTTCTTACTTAATAAGAAGATATACAGATATTTAACGATACCTACAAGGTAATTTACGGGAAATACGGAGAAAATGTAATAAAAATATTTACCAATTTTGGAACCTCTTAGTTCTTTTGGATTATAGCCGGCATCAATTATACTTTCATATACTGTTTCTAAAAGTATTCGTTGTCTTGGATCCATACAAGTTGCCTGCTTAGGATGGATGCCAAAGTAGGCCGTATCAAATTTGTCTATATTTAAAACAGTGGCAGCTCTTTTGGGAACTCCCCATATTCCTAAAAATATTACAACATTAACCCTCAATCAATGGATAAGATCAAAATAAACCTTCCTACATGAATTGTAAAACAAATTACAAGGAATTGTATATTAAAAGCTATACCTAATGTGGTAAAGAACACCTTATCATATCACTTATGACTTGCAAGATCGAATTATATTCTTCAAAAGATATTTTTAATTGGACTAATTGACCTGCACTATTAACACTATTTTACCTGCTGGATATCTTGTACTGTCCTCCTTTACTAAATCTACTCCATTTAAAAGCGCTTCTTTGAACTCTTCGACATTCTCACACTGCGGAAACTTTCCCGAAATACCCGTTATAACGATCTTGTCGTTTTCCAAAAAGTCCTTCATGATCTGAAAAAATTCACAATGCGTTAAAACTGTACTAAGCTAAAAGTATCAACTGGTTGATGTCTTTATTTGAATTATTTGGTATATGGGGCAAAATATCAGATGAAAATAATTACCACACATCATTTGTTGCATTTAATGCAAATTAAAAGTTTGCCAAAAGTTTTCATTTATTTAAACTAAACAGTTGCAGATAGTTAGTATAGAATAGGTACGTTGAAATATTGTTCTGAAGCTTTTTTTGTGGTATTTTCAAGTAATTACTATTTAAATGGGAATAAGCCACTATTAAAGGTTCAAGTAAGTTTATTGACGTTTCAATTTTCACTTCGGAAATTGAAACGTCAATAAACTTATTTTAACCTTTGATTGTGGCTTATTCCCATTTAAATAGTAATTAGGTACGTTGAAATATTGTTACTGTAGCCGCTTGAGGGTGTTTTTTTTTAATTGCCGTATTGCCAGATTCCAGTAAGAGCCTAAGAAGGTATCCATTGAATTCTGACAGGCAACGGTGTGAGAAATCTTTCTTGGACATCTACAAACAAATAACTAAAATAAAAAACTAAAAATTTATAGATAACCATACCTATTACCGTAAATTAGAAAATGTTTCAGACGTTAGGCCATAAACTAATAAATAATATTAACCATAAATTTCAGATCCCTCTGTCCTCCTGTTCCTTTTTCTTCATCACCCCAGAAACCCTACAGTGTACTTCTTTATATTATGTCTCTCCTCTCAACATTATGTTTACAATGTTTCTTTCATCCAGCCCGAAACCCATTCGCCTCTCATAAATTACCCTTCTTATTTGCTTATCTCTGGCAGTTAAAAATGTGGGCGAGTGCGTCCGGTACCCTACAAATAGTACAGTCTGTCGAGGTAGATTTGCCTATTCTATTTGTGAAGGTGTCAAAACTTCCATGTCTGGTCAGAAACTGCGTCAGGAAGTAGTCTAGTTTCCTGAACTTACATTCCCACTACGGTCTCAGATCGGAAATAAGCTCCTTCGGCCACCTTGCCTTTCCACTATCATTCGCCAATTGTCTCTGCCACTCTACTATCGTTCTTTCTCTCTCATTCTCATCTATATTTACATCCATCCTCCTCGCATACCTCCTTGCTTGCCCTTTACACAACAAAACGATCGGTATCCAATGACATATAGAGCCTCATTTGAAACTGTCCTATATGCTCTAAGATACCCTGAGGAGCATTCGCCTTTGCGAAATCTCCATCAGCTTAGCGTATTTCGCAGTGTTTAGTACGCTACACCATAGGGAGGTAACGTAGGTTACCACCGACTGGAAAACTCCATTTAGCACCTTTCTTTTAGTGCTACCTGGGCCTCCAATGTTTGGCATCAGCCGTATCAACGCCTCCAGATTTCGGTTCGCCTTCTCTACTGTCTTTTGGATGTGTAGTCCGAACCTTAGTTCTTTCGACAACCAGATTCCCAGATACTTAATTGATTTAACCGGTGCAACCTCCACACCTTCCACTATAAAGCGAAGAGAGGATTTTTCCGGGTTCCTTTGAGAACTAATACCTCAGTTTTCTGAGGCGTTAGCTGTAGATCGTTCTCTTGATCCACCTACTAATGCGACGCAGGGCTGTGTTAACCGCATTAGCCATGTCCGTTTTCTGACTCGCCTTCGCAACCAGTGCGAGATCATCGGCATAAGCTACAAGAGTGCATCTCCTTGGCATCTCAACACCCCATCATAAAGGACATTCCACAGGATGGGACCTAGTACTGAACCCTGCGGAACACCCTGCGTCAAACTGATGCTGGTATTTTTCTCTTATGGACCTGTCAGTAAAGTATCTGTCAATTACGTTGACCAGATACTCACTAATGCCCAATCCTCTTAGCCTGGACATGATTTTTTACCATGATGCCGTATTAAAGGCATTCTTGACGTCGAAGCAGGATGAGAGCCACCCATCTCTTTGTATCCTGCGTAACTAAAGAGGTTACTTATATGACCGCATCTATGGTGGACCTTTTGGTCCTAAAACTGTATTGGCGGTCGCTCGGCGCATACTTTTCTTGTAGCTCTCGCTCAAGGCGGCCTTTTACAAGCTGTTCGTACAATTTAGCTAGCGAACTAAGAAGGCAAATTGACCGTAATTGCACTTTTTCCTCTTCACCTTTACCTTTAGGGATAAGGACAACCTTAGCTTCTTTTAACATTGTTGAAAACTGCTGTTGTTCAAGCAGTTTGTTTAGCAATCTCAGAAAAACCTGCGGATATTTTAGTGCGGCGAATCTTACTGTCTCCGGCATGACTCCATCTATGCCAGGTGCTTTTAGGATCTTTATTTGTCCAACAGCCTGGGGGGTGTTTAGTATGCACTTTTATGTGTCCTCGGTACATTGTACTTTTTATATTGTTTGGTAGATAATTTGTTGTTAATAATTTAATTGTTTAAATGATTGTGTCTCCTAAACTATTAGAGATATTTAATTGTCCCAAAATGAGTTGAACAAAGTATCCTATTTGCAAATCAGCAAAATCCTAATAAACCACTAAGGTTGACACTGTCTGAACTAGAACAGTTTTTGGAATTACTATTTATATGTCTGTATTTGGTCTTCCAAAGTCTTGCATTTTTTGGCACATGAATGTCGAGTAACTCAGGTTACAGATGTAATTACAGATATAATGAGTAGGGATAGGTGAAAAGAAATAAAAAAGCAACCTCATCTAGATGATAATTCTAAAGCACCTCAACGTACTGATCAAAATCGTAATAAATTATATAAAATTAGACCACTAATAAACAAACTATTAGAATCCTTCTTACAGATTCCTTAAGAGCAAATGCTCAGTGTTGACGAGCAGATGGTTCCGTTCAAGGGACAATTAGGTTTAAAGCAATATCTTCCCAATAAACCATATAAATGGGGTTACAAAATATTCATAATTTGTGATAGTAATAGACATGTACATGCTTTAACACATATATACTGGTAAAATTGAAAAACATCTAGATTTTGTAGACTTGGGATCTAGTTCAAATATTGTTTTGAAATTAATACAAACCTTACGAAAAAATTTAAATCACATAATTTATTTTAATAATTGGTTTCCGTCTCTAAAATTTGTGAGCTTTACTTTGAGCTTTAAAGTGGTTTGATAATAGAGGTGTTACATGGACGTATAAACACAGATGGACTCAGTTATTTACATAAAATTGTGAAGTCAAAATTATTTGAATAGGTCACATTCTCAGCACCTTCAACTGTTGTCACGTTTTGTTTTAAAATTTCTTATTCGCGAGTCGCTGAAAATATTACTCCGTATTTTATACTCTACAGGTGCTATCAAACCAAAATAATAATTTATTGGTTAGATTAATATATTTAATTGTAATCAAAATATAAAGTGTGCACATAGTGTGCATTATCATTTAATAATAGCGTATAATAGATATCAATCAATTATTTTATATGTAGAAGCACTGAAAACTATTTATAAATGGCAACGGTTGTTTACATTTCTCTGTCTTATGGATCTACGTCAAACTTCAAATGCTGTTCCATGTTTGTTTACTTTTTAGTAAAAGTTGTTTTTCGATATTTTGGCTGTATTTTGAGTGATATTTGTGAAAAGTGAAATAAAATAAACGAAATATTTACATCCCGATCTCTCATTTCATTTGTAAGTACATACAATTTACATTATTTAAGATGAGGAAATGAGGAAGCGTGTTTGTTTACATTTTAATAGGCGTACCATTGGGTTTATTCATGTTCATTAATGTATTGAATAAGATATAAGTTCATGAAATTAGTAGACATTTTTAAATTGTAAGTAGACATCATCTGATTAAAAAAGATCTGTTTAGTACCTTTTTAATTTAATATTTCTCATGGATGCAAATAAATTAGTGAAATGAATAAAACTCATTTATTTTTCTATGTAGGTTTCCAAATAATATTGACGATCGAACTATTTTGGTAGCAAATTTAGGAGAAAACATAAAGATTTTTTATTGTAGCATTATTTTGATACCTATTAAAAATTAACTTGAATTCAACTATATTTTATTGTATTAATTTTAAAGCAAATAAAATTGTATTTTAATTTTTCTATAAAGACGTGATTTGTTAATAGTTAAACTCTCGTTTTTTTTAAATTCTTTGAACGTGTTTTTATACATTATTACTACTTCCAATTTTTAAAATCTGAATAATTACCCGCGAGTAAAAATTCAAGCACGCTTATGCTCATTGCGGAAGCATCACATTCTATCGAAGCTTCAAAACATTGTGTGTTAAAGGTATCTTATTGCTGTGTCCATCTATGTTTATACGTCCATGGGTGTTACATTAACCAGCACTTTCTCTCATGCTCAGCCTACATCTACCATAAAAAGATGGAACCAAAAATCACCAGCTTATGTTGAAATTTGCTGCCCAAAGTAGTACCATCGATTAATTTTCCACTTTATAGATCTTGCTATTGTCAATAGTTGACTTCTATATAAGAAGCAACAACTGCTCAAATTCCATAATAAAATAGCAGAATCGTTGTGTTGGGAGGGAAAAGATATAGGCATTCGTAAAAGAGGTCAACCATCTACTGAATTGTTACAAAACAATTATAAAAAAAAGAAGAAGAGAGGCCCAGCTTTACTTTTTCATTTGCAAAATATTAGAACAGATGGAGTTTCTCATTGGCCTGTCATCAAAGCTGCAAGACAAAGATGCAATAAACCAAATTGTAGAGGCCAAACCAATGTAGCTTGTGAAAAGTGTAATGTAAATATATGTCTAAATAAACATTCAAATTGTTTTTAAACAATTTCATACAGAATAGTGAACAGGGATAAAGCTAAATAGCACTATTGAAAAAAAAAACATTGTATTTTGAAAAATAAATTTAAAGCTTTAATATCCAAATTAAATATCTTTTCTTAATGTTTCATTACTTTAAGTTCTTTATTTGGCCATTTTTAATAACGTTAGTAAATTTTAATTTTTTTCTAC